CTAAACGCGTGTGTCTGCCGTCCATCGCCCCGATTGCTTGTTGTTGATAACGACGCGTCACTCGAATTTCAGATCACAAGTTCCGCACATTACAAAACTGGTGACTGTGATGGAATGATGGTAAAAACAATGCCGAAACCAAACGAAGCTTCAGATTCTCGAGAACAAACAGTGGATACAAATCTCGTTCTCATACAAGCATCATCTGCACTTCAGACAACAACGGCGAGTGTGGCCGCACAGCAAATCCTGTCCCCGACCAAGTTCCACGTCAGCGATGATTACGATCGTTGGGAATCACAGGTCAAAGACTACCTCAAAATGTGGGAACCGGAGAAACGCCAATACCTACTGCTTACCCTGGCAGATGAAGCAGTCTAGAACCAGATCTATCAGGAGGTACCGGAAGAGATGACCGATGAGACCTTCTCCACAATACGATCTATCTTGGTACCCCGCCGCCGTAGGAAAGAACTTCGGGATGCATTTTGCTATCGAGTACAACAGTTGTGCGAGACAGCGCAGCAGTTACCGCCGAATTGCGGAAGTTGACCACTCCCGGAGTGTGAACCAAGCTTCCGTGACCTGTCGTTACTGCATCTGTTTGCTGATGGTTTTCGCTCAGCCACAGTACAAAACTCGTTCGCAGCAAGGACACCTGAATCGCTAAAAGAAGCGAATGACCGTGCCTCCTCGCTCGAAGAGCCGCCTGTGCTCACTAACGATCCCACTTTCAAACCACCGACCGATCCTAGGCAACAACTAGGTCGACCCCACAAACGCCAATGAGAAATCTGGGGTCGACGTGAGATTCCGTGGAACGCCCGAAAGAATACGACGGAGCCGAATCCAAGTGAGTATTCCCGAAACGAATATTTACCCTTTGTTTGCTCTATGCCAGTCCTATGCTTAAGTCGGTTTTGTCGGAGCAACAGAGTGGCATTGAATGCGTGATCGCGTCTGAAAATCGTTGCCCAAACAATCACGAAAGAAATTACTGTGCCACCAGGAAGGAAATGCTATCCCTAATCTAGTTCCTAAACCACTTCCGCCACTACCTATTGGGAAAAGAACTTATAGTACGCACAGACTACCAAGGGCTCAGCCCTGCGTCCGCCTGAGTTCGTAATTCCAATACGCGCATGAAGTAAC